GAGAGAGAGAGAGAGAGAGAGAGAGAGAGAGAGAGAGAGAGAGAGGCACTCTCTCCAGGGATCAAATTATTTCATTCCTTTCTCCCCCAATATTTCTTTATTCTTAAAATATCGATTTTTTTTCCTCTTTTAGGTCATACTTTGTCCATTTGTGTTGGGAACTTTATTTAATTATTATTTTTATTCAAGGATTATAAACCATATCAAAACCTGTTGTCACAAGATGGATCTGAAGGCCAAAATGCAATGTACTATATAGTCTTGTACAATATAGTAAGGTACTTAAGCCATGAGTAGTGTTATTTTTCTATGATAAAGAAAATTTTTTCCTCTCCTCCTTTCACCAAAGCACACAACTAATTTTCATAAATTTCCTGCTTCAAAGTTTTTAAGTCAGTTGAATTATTGTTTTTTTTTTTTTTTTTTTTTTTTTGTTGGTACCAGCGATTGAACCCAGGGGTGTTTAACCGCTGAGCCACACAGGATTTTTCTACATGTTTTTTTATCCTAGTAAAAATTATTGTAGGCTCTTTAGTAGCAGCACATAGATATGGCAGACAGTTGTAAGAATATTATGGATAGAAATAAAAGTAATAGTAAGCATTACTGAACTTATTAGTTTCAAGAATACAACATTTCCAATTTCAGCTTTTAGAAGCCATGCTTCCTGCACCCTAGTTCCAGCTAAAGGAATGAGAAGTCTAGGAGGAAGCATGACATTTACATACACAGTGTCTTCATGTAGTTTAACGTAGTTTAGAAGTTAATTGTTACCATTACTCAATTAGCTTATTAGATTCAAGAAGAAAAACCAGTTAACAAATATTTATTGACACAGGAAGGACTGTATCATGAATATATAATGTTAGGTGCTGGGAAACAATGTGGGAAAACAAAAGAGTTTAAAGACTGGAGGAGATGTTATACATTCAACAAGTGATCACAATATACTAAATAAATGAATTAAAGGCTACAGTATACCATGAGCAAGAAATATAGGGAGGGTCAACACTAGAAATCTAATACATACATGCATGCACATGCACACATATTCAAAAGGACCAGAGCTTAGAATTTATCTTTTCTCTACCTTAAGTGACAACTTTGGTTTATTTGTAACAAGTAATATAAATAGAAGCTTGTATATAAAATTTATATGTACCTTTTTTCTGCTGCTGTTTATTGCTGCTTGATGAAAACAAACAGGTTCTACTAATGCTGGTAGACAGAGTCACTGCAGTAAAATCTATTTGAGATGTGTGATTGTTGTGAGTTCTAATATAGATGAGTGGTAGATTCACTTATGAAATTTGGATGACTGTTTACCTAAGCAATTGAGCACGGTGGCTAAAGACTCTGGCTTCTGTATAACACTGGCTCTACTACTTACTAGTTGTGTAATCTCAGACTTTAATCTGTAAAATGAAGATATATAATCAGATTAACAACCTCAAATTTAGGATAAGGATGAAATGTGCTAATACATGTAAAGCACTTGGAACAGTGCCTGGTACAGAGTAAGTGCTATATAAATGTCATCTATTGTTTTTCTCTAACACAGTCCTGGATTTTTAGCCAACTAACTGAGCACAATAATATTGAATCTCATGGATACAGGAGTTTTTTGTCAGGGGTATACCAGAAAAGCTCTATTAAGCACAGCTAAGGGAATCCAGGAATTTAGTACCATATTTATTGTCTTTAATATTGAGTATCAGGGTGTTAAATGATAAAGACTGTGTTTTCAAGTTAGAATATGACATTTTATTCTGTCACTGTTAGATAAAGTAGTAAAAACATTAGTTGATTGTCTTCACATGTTAGCTTCCTTTGGACTTTTCAAATGATACATTTGGCTTTTTATACAAATATATTGTGTCTTAGTTCAGTTGGACAATTAAGAGCATAGATAGGAAGAGCTGATAGAAGCTTTTAATATGTGAAAATCCTCAGACATAAACCTTTACAATGTTATTAATAGGCATATCATCAACAACAGATTTTCAGATTTTATGCTTCACTCTGGACAAAAACAAGAGCATGACATCTTGAAGTTGTTCACTGGGTAATTTAAAACTCTGTTATAATGTGTACACCAGCTGCACATATCATGTTACTTGAGTTCAGCATCAATTAAAATTGTAAATGAAACTAGTCATATGTTCCCTTTCAAAGATGTTACTGTCCAAATCAACAAACTCAAAGCAACTGTCCAAATCAATAAAATAGCATGAATATTTTTACCATAAATATTTTGTTTAATTGTGTTTTCTAAATCCATTTTTAGTGGGGGGCAGGTACCCAGGATTGAACCCAGGAGGGTTAACCACTGAGCCACATCCCCAACCCTTCTTAAATATTTTTTTTTCTTAAACTTTTTAGTTGTAGATGGACACAATATCTTTATTTATTTATTTTTATGTGGTGCCGAGGACCAAACCCAGTGCCTCATACATGCGAGGCAGGCGCTCTACCACTGAGCTACAACCCCACCCCCACCCCCTTTAAAATATTTTATCAAGAGGCAGGGCCTTCCTAAATTGATGAGGCTGGCTTTGAACTTGCAATTCTCCTGCTTCAGCCTCCCCAGTCGCTAGGATTACTGTGCCACTGCTCTTGGGCTTAAATCTATTTTAAATTCTGATTTCTATTCTGTTCAAATGAACTATAGTATGATAGCTAATACACATCAAGAGCCTTCTATGTAATCCAGGTGGCTTTATAATTTTGTTCTAACCAGAAAATTATTTAAAGCAGTCGCAACTTTTAGACAATACAGCCTCAAGGAGACGAAAGAGAGGGCAGCACCGAGAACTGAAATATGTCGTCTTGAGGACTGTGTTCTTTATACAGCATTTATACTGACGTCATCTTTTAAAAACTAAAAATCTTGTATCACTTATTTAGAAAAGAGAGTGGCGGTTTTTAAGATGAGTATCTCCAGCTTGCCCGCCTCCGATGATGGCTATTAACCAAAAGAACGTACTCTTTTGGCGGCTATGGAAAATAAGACGGAAAAGTAAGAATGAGTTTTGGAGAGTAAATCAACCTCCCAGACAGCCAGTAAGACTGTCCCGGGCCCCGCCTTCTTCACAGCCACCACCGCCCCCGCGGGGTGGAGCACCTGCCAGGGCGCGCAGGGCGGGGCCGAGAGATGTGCTGTCCACTGCGCGCGCGGCCGGGGTTCCAGTGAGCAAGTGCGGCGGGGCGCTCGGTGCAGTTGAGCGTGCGGGCCGAGTCCTGAAGGGTTGCGGGACCTGGGCACGATGAAACCCGAAGGGGAGCGGCCGACGGTCGGGGTTGCCTGCGATGGCTTCTCAGAGCTGGAGCTGCTGAAACTGCGCGCGGCAGAGCGCATCGACGAGGCGGCTGAGCGGCTGGGGGCCCTGAGCCAAGCCATCTGGAGCGAGCCTGAGCTGGCCTACGAGGAACACCGTGCCCACCGTGTGCTGACGGGCTTCTTCGAGCAGGAGCCGCCGGCCGCCTCCTGGGTGGTGCAGCCGCACTATCAGCTGCCGACCGCCTTTCGCGCGGAATGGGAGACGCGGAGCGCAACGCGGTGCGCGCTGCACTTGGGCTTCCTCTGCGAGTATGACGCGCTGCCCGGCATCGGCCACGCCTGCGGTCACAACCTCATAGCCGAGGTTGGGGCGGCGGCCGCTCTGGGATTGAGGGGGGCCCTAGAGAGCCTCCCTGGGCCTCCTCCGTCGGTGAAGGTGAGGTGGGGCCGGTACATCCCTTGCACTTTAGTCCCTGGGCCGGTGTAGGGAGTGCGCTGGACGTGTGGCCATCCCTTTGGCAAAAGGCAGAAAAGAATCCCCGAAAGAAAGTCAGGACTAAACGTGTTGCCGACGACCTTCTGCAGACTTTTTATTTCCACTTTTGTAGTTATAAACAACTCAGGAGATTCTTCTCTTGGAAAGAATTGAGAACCAAGCCTGGTTTTTGTTACGGGTTATTTTTGGTGACTGAGAGGCAACTGCAATTTGCTGACAAGTAATTCCTCCAATTACTTCAGGAGAAAGTAATTTTTGTAGGAAAACCTGTATCTATCTATCTATCTATATATATATATATATATATATATATAGAGAGAGAGAGAGAGAGAGAGAGAGAGAGAGAGTGTGTGTTATGATTTGCTTGGTATTTGAATAGGAAAATTTCAGCCATTAGAATCCTCTAACTTCTAGAATTATACTAATAATGGAAAAGCAAATGAACATTTAGTACAAAGATAAGTTCATCCTTAAGTCTTAATTTTTATTTCACAATTTTAAGAAATATACCAATTCCTTAAACAGGAAATGTTGTTTATGTTTGTCTTAGGCAAGTTTAATCTTGTGTTATTCTGTTTTTCCAGATGTTATATTATTCTTTATTCTGTGAGCTAAGATTCAATCATCATCACTCAGGTTAAAGGGAAGACAAATGTTTTAATATTATTTAGCCCATTTCCCCGCAATGTCAGTAACCTTTCTCTTTTGTCCTAACAGTTCCATCTCTCTAGGCTTTCTCTTTAGCTACCTTCTATTTTCAGCCGCTGGGGGCTGGTTTTTGCCTTAGATTAGCTTTTTTGTTTTGTTGTGAAGGGGGAATATCCTTTGTCATTGCATAAAACATTGGAGAGATTTAGTTTTAACCAGGTTTATGAAAGACTCGGAGCTGTCAGCAATAGACCATCGATTTTATAAGTCTAGAGTTAAGAATAAAGAGCAGCTAGTTTAAGAGTGTGGACACTTTATGGTTTCTAAAGAAAACTGGAGTTTGAGAAATGTACCAACTTCACATTCCAGATGATTGTTCTCAGTTTCAGCAAGGTTATCTGTTCTCAGTTTAGCAAGGTTATCTGTTCTCAGTTTAGCAAGGTTATCTGTCTTATCTGAAAATGGAATTTGAGCTGTTTCTCTTTGCAAGCCAAGAATTTTTTTCCAGGTTGTTCCATTGTGTTCAAAGACAAGACCTTGAAAGTATGAGTTGTTTATAGATAATTTTCCTTTGCTTTTTAAAATTGAAGAAGTTAAGCTTAAATTTCAAAGTAAAATGTTTATTCTGTAAAGTTTTCTTTTGTTTAATTAGGTATTTGGTGACCAGTAAATCTGCCTTGGTTGATTAGTAAGTTTGTGTAGTAGTTGGCCATTTCTTACCATGGTATTAAGATTTGTTTAATGCTCTTCATAAGGGATTAATGAGTTAAGACTTTTTAAGAAGGTATCTTAGTAAGGAATAGTTCAGGCCAACAGGTTAGGGCATCTAAGGTAATTTAGCTGTGCCCGAAGATTTGCTCTTTGACCTGGGGCAAGACACTTTCAAAACCACCCTCCCCAAAATGATGATGCTGGTTACTCATCTACCTCACAGGGTTGTTGTGAGAATGATTAACAAGTCACTTGAAAAATTCCTTACCAGTAAAATGCTGGTGAATAGCTCTATATGTATACTAAAGTCTAAGTCATGAAGAAGCTTTAAGAAATAAGTCCTTGCAAATTTTGAGGAACTAGGTATGTAATAATCAACTTTTTTTCATATTTGCCATTCGTTATACAAATTTGAGTTATTACAAATAACTATTAATAAATATTGGGAAAGTTTCTTATAGTGTCCCTGGTACATACATTACTTCAAATTAGTATAATAATGTAAATTAAATTTTGTGATTAATTTAGCACCATATATTTTATGCCCACTGCATAAATCCTCTGTCTCCATAGTTTAAGAACCTTAATATAGATTGTGAGTACATGTTTGAGGGAACCTGTTTGATATTTTCCTACTAGGACTTTTTGTTGTTGTTTTGCTCTGAAATAGGTATTTCCCTCTAGATAAGTGTCCTGGGAACCCCTGCAGAAGAAGATGGTGGTGGCAAAATTGATCTAATTGAAGCAGGAGCTTTTGAAAACCTCGATGTTGTTTTCATGGCCCATCCATCCCAAGAGAATGCTGCTTATCTACCCGATGTGGCCGAACATGAGTAAGTAATCAAGTTGCAGATAAACTTCTTAGAGGATAACTGACTATAGAATACTTTTATGTCTAAGGGCCCAACACTCCAAATTTTTTTTCATTTAAAAAGTAAATTGATGTGTATGAATATGGTATAATGAATCCCACTACTATGTATAATTATAATGCTCCAATTAAAAACAAAACAAAACAAAAACCCAGTAAATTGAGTCAGATGCAGTGGTGTGTGCCTATAGCTGCAGTTACTTGGAAGACTGAGGCATGCGTGAGGAGTGCTTGATCCTGTATGAATTTGGAGACCAGAATGGGCAATGTATTGAAACCCCAGAACAACAAAACAAGAAGTGTATTGTAAGGGCTGGGGATAGAGTGCTTGCCTCGTATGCACAATGCCCTGGGTTTAATCCCCAGCAACCCCCCATCACACACCCACACAAAAGTATATTGTAAGATAATGTGATGTCTTAACTTACATTGAACGACATTTGGTAAGACTCCAAAACAAAACAAAAAGTGTATTCAAAGATAATGTGATGTCTTGATTAACATTGAGTGACATTTGGCAAGACTCTTCTAATTGAGATTTATTATAGTATTCATAATAGGGCTGCTAAAATAGTGCCTAAAAAACAGGAGTAGCAAACAGAACATGGTGACATTTATGTTCTGTTTTGAACTCTGAGAGGAACCTGATTTCTGGAAAGCGTGTATTCTTGATAAGGAGTTGCCTTTGCAACTGAAAAGATTTGTAAGAGATGGTTTTATTAGTCAGCCTACTTGGCCCCAGGCCTGTTTCAGTGTCTGGCTTCTTTGTTTTTTCATGGGTCATCTTTTTAAGATTTCCACAAAAGAGGAACAAGATGAAGAATTTAAAGAAAAGTTATTAATTTATCTCTTTAAATTTCTAATAATGAATAAGATAAAACAAGTTTTTCCTATTGGCCACCTTTCCCATATCCAGTCCCTTCTTTGCTGTTGTTGTTTTCTCCAGTGCTGAGGATGGAACCCAGGTCCTTACACATGCTAGGCAAGCACTCTACCACGCAGCTACAGCACTAACCTTCCAGTCCCCTCTTTAGAGGTGTATTTATAGGACATGCATAGGTACATGTATAAATTAAATATTGAAGGAAGGTTGTTTTTTTTTTTTTCTCTGAGGAATTCAGCTTAACACACACACATACACACATTTTATTTTGTTTTATTGAGGTACTCAGGGTTGAACTCAGGGGCCTTCTACAACTGAGAAACATCCCCAGCTCTTTTTTTATTTTTTGAGACAGAGATTTCCCATGTTGCTAAGCTGGCCTTGAATTTACAGTCCTCTTACCTCAACCTCCTGAGTCACTGAGATTACAGGCATGTATCACTATGCCCAGCCATTCAGTATATTGTTCTAGCTAGTTGCAGTGGCACATGTGTGTAATCCCAGTGACTCAGGAGGCTGAGGCAGGAAGATTGTGAGTTCAAAGTCAGATGCAGCAATTTAGGCCCTAAGTAACTTAGTGAAACCTTGTCTCAAGTAAGAAAGAAAAAAAAAAAGGGTGGGGATGTGGCTAAGTGGTTAAGCACCCTTGGATTCAATCCCTGTTGCCAATAAATAAATAAATAAATAAATAAATAAACACACACACACACACACACACACACACACACACTGTTTTGGCCCTATTTTTTATTTAATTTTTTTTTTTTTTTGAAATGGGTCTTTCTGTTTTGCCCAGGCTGGCCTTGAACTCTTGATCCTCATGCTTCAACCTCCAATAGCTGGCACCAGAGGCAAGTGCCACCATAACTAATTCACAGGCCCTTGTTTTGTTAAAACAAAATCAAACAGTTTGTTTTGAAAATAATTTCATATTGTTTTGCTTGAAGTATGTTTTTAAAGGCCAAAATATTAATGCTGATATAAAATAACTTTTAATATTTCTTTTCCTGTAGTTTATTGTTCTTTAATTGTATATTTAAGCACTCAATGGAAGAGCGCTTGCCTGGCAAATGTGAGGCACTGGGTTCGATTCTCAGCACCACATGTAAATAAATATGTAAAGATCAGTCAACAACTGAAAAAAAAAAAAGAAATGGTACTAGAGCCATTTTCATAAAGGACTTCCTTTTCCATTTTATACTCTAGTTTCAAGGTGATGGTGAAAAGATATATGTCAAGGAAATAAGTATCTTACAATCTTATAAATGTGTTTGAGGGGCTGGGGATGTGGCTCAAGCGGTAGCGCACTCGCCTGGCATGCGTGCGGCCCGGGTTCGATCCTCAGCACCACATACCAACAAAGATGTTGTGTCCGCCGAGAACTAAGAAATAAATATTAAAAATTCAAAAAAATAAAAAAAATAAATGTGTTTGAATGTTTTTACTTATCTTCGTTCTGTTAACAGAATGTGAGGAATGACATAAGAATTGGTAGCATTCTAAGAATTCCTGAATGTCCAGAATGGTTTTTTAGTCTAAATGTGAACAATACTAGTTAATTAGGTTTAAAAAGTGTTAACTAAGTAAGTCAATCACTTAGTTACACTATTATTTAGTTATAAAGTTATAAGTATTTAATTCACAGTCTGAGAATATAAAAACCATGGAGTGAAGTAATGATAATTTATAGAATTTTAAAACATTAATGAAGTATGGGGATATAGCTCAGTAGTGGGGAGCTTGCCTAGCATGTATGAGGCCCAGGTTTCATCCCCAGTGCTGGAAACAAATTAAGTTAAATAAAATGTTAGCCACCTAAAGTATTTGGAAACATTAAAATATTGCTAGGGTATCTTATGATAAAATTGTGAGTATAAAGTGATTTTCAAAGATTATCTTAGCCCATTTCAAATGTTACTTTCTAATAAAGAATTATCTGAGTTTTTTTTTTGTTGTTGTTGTTGTTTTTGTTTTTGTGGTGCTGGGTGCTGGGATTGAACCCAGGGCCTTGTGCATGCAAGATAAGCACTCTACCAACTGAGCTATTTCCCAGCCCTTATCTGAGTTTTTGCAGACTTTTGATAGAGAGCTATCACCATACAGTGTAAAAGGATGCAAGAATTCCTATTTTATAATTGCATCATGTAATACAGTATTGCATATGTGTTCAAGTTGAATTGTGTACAAATTTAATCTGTAGGAGGTTGGTTGAGCAACATTTTCTTTCTCTATTTAGAATACTTTCTTTGAGTTAAGTACTATGTCACATAATAATAAGTTGTAACTAATGCAAGTAAATGTAGTGCTTTTACTGCAAATAATTTGCAAGTAAATATTTCAGCAATGTGAATTAATTTTGAATAATAGTTTGGTAGTTCTAACTACCTGCATTTTTTTTTTCTTTAGTGATACTGGAGGGAGTAATTTTCAATGATTTTTTTTTTTTTTAGTTGTAGATGAACACAATACCTTTATTTTGTTTTTACATGGTGCTAAGGATCCCACCCAGAGCCTCATGCATGCTAGGCAAGTGCTGTATCACTCAGCCCCAGCCCCAGCCCTTTCAATGATTTTTTTTATTTCCTAGTGTGACTGTGAAATACTATGGAAAAGCATCTCATGCTGCTGCTTACCCCTGGGAAGGAGTCAATGCCTTAGATGCTGCTGTTCTTGCCTACAACAATTTGTCTGTGTTAAGACAGCAAATGAAACCAACCTGGAGAGTTCATGGTATTACTGTCATATATTTTGTATGATGGTGCTTAGTATATTTCAGTGAAATATAATTAATATTTGATTTTTTAAAAAATTGGAAACAGTTATGTACTTCATATGAAAATTCTAAAATTTTGAACATTTTCAGAATTCATGTGACAGGGTACTAGGATATTTATATGTGGATAGGAAGATATTTACAACTATTGTACATAAATGGAATGGCCATCTTTGAGCAATAGAGCTGAAGTTTTATGTGGGGAACTGTTTTTTCTGTCAGTGTTTGAAAGTAAGAACTTGATTTTCTGGTTATCCCAGTGTCTCTTAATGTTAACAACATTTTGTCCATTCCTCAAATTTAAAAAGGTGTAAAGATTACTGGATTTTAATAAAGGTTGTTACATCCTAAAGAACATCTTTTTTTTTTAAGATGTTGATGGACCTTTATTTTATTCATTTATTTAAATGTGGCGCTGAGAATTGAACCCAGTGCCTTACACATGCTAGGCAAGCACTCTATCACTGAGCCACAGCCCGGCCTTATGAAGAGCATCTTTTAA